GCTCGTTCTTCTCAGGGAGGTCAGCGTAGTGAACGAGCAGTAGCTTAAATGTGACGATTTCAAGTGTAAATTTATTTTACCTATGGAATAAATAAACTTTGACTTTGAATGGGCACGTCCTTTTGTTTCAAGAGTCACGATGACGGATCGAAGAAACGTAAGGATAGTCAAAAAAAGAGGGGATTCGAGAACGATTCAAAATTTTAAAAATAAACCAGAAAGGAATCAGATAAGACTGATAAAAAGGCGGGATGCCGATGGAGATAAGAAATAGTAACACTAGTAGCAGTAGAGGTCCCGGTGAAAGAGTTCCGGTTTAGAAGGATAAGGAAGCTGGTGAAATTACAGGCACAGTGACGGACGCACTGCCATTGTAAACCCACTCGTCGGCTAAAATTGAAAACCTCGTCTACTTGTTTACTTTTCAAGCGCAATATCGGGCAATTAAATCTAGGGCCAGCGGACTAAAGCACATAAATCGAAATCATTTGTTACTTCATTAATTTGTAACTTAAATTCTAGTGACGTCTTTTTCAAACTGATCATTCTGTCACATCTTCCAACATTATAAACAACACAAAAAATAACATTATATATTAAAAATGAAGCAATATCTTTGACTTATGTTTTTGGTCAGGTGACTCTAGAAACATACTTTGTAGGCATTGACTTACAATTATATGGACGTCGGGTCTGCGTTAAAAAGTGTCCGAACTTATAGGGCGTTAAAATCGTATACATAGCGTCATTCACGCTTTAGTCTTCGTTTGTTCGACTGACTGCGAAGCAAGCAAAATTAGACAGTACTGCGATGACATTACAATTTAAATTCAACGTTTTAGCTTTTTCATATTCCTTTACGACATGTTTAAATAGTAGTAGTAGTAGTGTTTAAGTAGTACTACGTTTAAATAGGTTGACTTGGGACATTTTTTTTGTAGTTTTTGTATTAGACCCGTCGTCCATTTATTTGTAAGTCAATGTTTGTAGGCCTTTCTTCAGTTTTACAATAAAGGTCTAATCATTCTCTATATAGTAATTCTGTTTTTTGTACCTACTCAAAAATTAATATCAATGGAGGTTTGGACTTTAGGAATTCAGCGCACGCACTGTGGAAGCACAGATCGGCAGCCGGGCGCATTTGTCGACGTTTGTGTTCGATTAATAAACGCAGGGAGCACTGACCGGCGGTGCGGCGGTGGCGCCGGCTCTTGCGGGCGGCGGGCGCGGCGCCCTCGGCCTCGGCGGCCAGCCGCGCCTCCAGCTGCCGCGCGAACTCCTCCAGCCCCGACATCGTGTTCTTCTCCAGGAACGCTGCGGCGACAAGCCACGTCATCGACCGTCAATATCGCCTCGCAGAGCAGAGCGAGATAAAGTTCCCGAGGTCAATTGGCCAATAAGTAAGTGGGTATCAAAGTAAGAATGAAAAACATTTACAATAATCTTAGTACAGAGTACTAAAAAAACCAACCTCAAATGTCATTCATCCCCTAGTTTGCTATCCTTAGAGGTGGAATATTTTCTTTAAATTTAAATGGGACCACGTCTGATGTACCCTCTTTTGCAACAAGAAAAGAATCGTCAAAACTTTTGAAGTCTGTTAAAAAACCAAACTTATATCGAGTTCTAAGGTTTTCGCGATTGTTACACATAGGAAATGAAACTATTTTTATTTTAATCGTGTACATTTGTTTTTGTCAAACAAACCAACGTTTCGGGCCCTTTACAGGTCCCAGGTCGCGGTTGACTGAATAGTAATAGTAGGACCGGAAACGTTGGTTCGTTTGAAAGAACAAATACACGCGAATAAAATAAATAGCTTCATGTCCTAAATCAAAATTTATTATAGTATAAAGTCATGCTAAATTTAAAAATCCCCTTTCATAAAAATTTCCTATTTACAATTATACAATACAGCTGTCTTTCTTGGTCTTTTCATTATGAAAATCGAAACCATTGAAATACTTTTTAAAGACCGAAACGAGTGAATATCTGAAAAGGCTATCTCGGACGAATACGGTCGATGAACTAACTGCAATAGTCTTTGACAGCTTTGTGCGACACCTTTACGCTTCACCTATTCTGGGCGTTTTTAATTTATTAATTACCTTTCCCACCTACCATAGACCACATAACATTACAAAGATAAAAGTTTTTTTTGTTTAAAGCTAGCCAAAGCCGCACGAACTTTTTGGCTAACCCACTAACTGTCTTTGACATCAATCCTGGAATCGCCTACTATGCCTTATTAATTAGTCACGTTCCAGGGTCACATTTTTATACAAACATACGTATGGTAACATTGACAGAGATTAGACCGCCCCTTTCCACGATCCTGGAACATCTCGAACCTCTATCGCCACTTTACTTGCATTTATCCAACAGTTTTGTTCGATCAATGAATAAGGACCGACAAGACTTGACCTAACCTTGGCATAGTAATGACCTCTGCTTCTGCTTCCGCAACTGCGGAAATTCCGCACGTTTTTCAAACGTATCCATTTCTACTATCGCAACGTTTATAACTTTAATCGGAAGTTTACAACGTTCGCGGTGCGTGCGTTTTTTAGTAGTTTGTGTTGTGTAATAATTACAATTAAATTTAATTAAATTAATAAGCCTTTTGGGAACTATATTACCGAGTTCTTTATAGTATTTATACTTCCGTTTCCGCATCCGCTTCCGCTACGGTTTTCTTTTGACATCTGTTTCCGTTATGACACTTTCGTTGCATCACTACCTTGGCAGTAAAACCGCGCTACTTTGCGGAATGTAAAATAACTAATTCCATTTAGAGACGTCACGACTCACGACCGCCAGTGTCACCTAGCGCATACCGGAGATACTAACCCTTGACCATGGGCCACATGCTCTTCTTGTACTTGACGTGGCCGTAGAAGGAGAATGAGGTACAGTGTTCGGCCACGCGTTGCAGGCAGTAGTGCGCCTCCACCGTGAAGTAATCCGCGTACGGGATGCCCGTGTTCTCCGACGTCGCGTCGATGGAGTACAGTACGCCAGGCTTCGAGCACTTATTCATAACCTGCCACCACAAGACACGGGCAAATAGTACATCTCTTATTTTACCGATATTTCTTAACTGTTACACGCTCCATGGTAAATATTATAGTGGAAATATTGGGTAAATAAAAAAAACGTACTGAGGAAAAAAAATCTATAATTATTACAGTTCTATCTCAGGAGCCTGTGACGACGAACAGCAAGAGAGACTTACCTGCGTCTCGGTGACATGCACCTCCTTGGGCCCGATGGGCCCCGAAGTGAGTCCCAGCACGTAGCTGACCTGGCGGCACTTGAGCCCGCCCGCCGCCTGCCACGGCGCCTGCACGCATTCACTGCCATTCAATCCACTGTTTCAATTAGAAGCTTGGCGATCTAACGGCCACTAAATCAGCAAACATAACAAAGTGACATCATTCAAAAATTGAAATTTTTGGTAAACTAACAAAAATTAATTTTCATCATCATCATTCAGCCATACGACGCCCACTGCTGGGCATAAAATTAATTTTAAAAAGTGCGAAATACAGTAATCGGAATTTTGACAATGAGGTACGTTTTTTTAAAAATCCATTCTACCAATTTCCCCAAAAACTTCATCGAAGTATGTCACTTTGTAATTGATGTTGCGAAATAATTTATATGATTCCTTGATGCCCTACGAGATCTACGAGGTCGCAACCGTATTGTACAAAGCGCCATATTACATTACGGCTAGCCAATTTGCAAAACGGCGCTGTTGTGTAATACGGCTACTTAGTATTCAGCCGAATTGCAATTCGCCTAAAAAAAGTACGCCGCATTGTAATAGAACGTGGCGTATCACAAAGCGGCTAAAAATGTGCCGCCGGAATACAATAGGACCCATCATTGTTATGCTGCTTTAATATACTTAGTTCGAAATATAGCCGCAAACAGCAACTGTCTCAACAAAATGCAAATATTATTAGTTTTAGGAGTGGCAAAAGTAAAAATATGCGTGAAAATATTGAATATGACGAACATTTGTTACAAATTATTTCTCTTCTCATAATTACTCTTCCTAAAAAAACTCATAACTTGACAATTTGATTCACAAGTTCTTGAATGTTTATTACAAGATTTCTGATATTTTTTATCAATGACTTTTGTTCTGTATCTATTACTCAAAATTCATAGTTAGGGTGACATTTTCCATGTGAACAATACGGCTAAACGTTTGCCGCTGTTTCGTAGAACGTATCGTGATCACAATCCAGCTGAACACGGGGTAGCCGTATTAGAAAACAGGGTCGTTTTGCAAAGCGGCTAGCCGTATTGTAATACGGCGCTTTAAACAATACGGCTGCGACTTATATATTCTTATTTGTAAAATACTAACAACCTCACGGGACTATGTTACAAAATATAAAACATTGAACTGCCTCCGTGGCGGAACGGTTACCACCCCAGGTTCAATTTCCGGGCCGGGAGAAATATTTGTATGGCCTACATTTATTTCTCTCATGAGTTTGGGTGTAATTTGTAGTTGTCTATGTGTGTATCCAAGGCACCCGCGATACAGGGTTTCCCTAGTGCATACACAATAACATAGCCCCATGTTGACTATGTGCGTTATTATTATTATCATTATTTACCAAAAATAAACTTTTCAGTTTTTGTTGCACTAGTAAGGTTGTAAGTTCAAACGAGAAGCGTCCTCCCCGGAGTCTCCCACCCTCGCTCTTGCATTTTGCACAGAGTTAGGACTGTTTAGAGCGATTAAATAAATAATGAGAATGCGGCGGCGACCTGCACATAGTCAGAAGTGCCTCTGGCCGCGAGCAGTTCCAAATTGAACTTGGAGTTAGTGAAGATCATGGTGAAGAGCTGGTCGATGTTGAACGGGAACTGTGTCTGGAGCAGCAGCTTGCCGCAGTGTGCTGTAGTGCATTTCTCCATCACGGCGCCGCTGAAATTTTCGAATCCTATCGTAATCGTGTTTCTAAGACAATAGGATCAGGATCTACATTATCCGGCAGCAAGAAATCAGATTTGCATAGGCACATGAACGATCCTAGCGGATGCTTAAGTTTTTTTTAAATACAATATTAAGTGACGGGACGCACAAGTCGTGCGCCTGATGGTAAGCTACACGCCAGTCCATAACAGTTGCAGTGCCATTCAGAGCTTTAAATCGCAAAGATCTGAGGGGCACTGCCACTGGATAGGCTTATCACCAGCCGCATGACTTGCTCGTCCCATCATTGTATTATACAGGTTGATAAAAAATTCACTGGCCATATTTTTTCCTGTACATAAGATTCAATAATAGAACACATTGGTGAAATAAAACAAAAAAATCCCCATTTTTTGATGATAATATTTCCCAATAATTTCTAACACGTGGTTAACTCAAAATAGTAAATAAAATTGAGCGATCGACCCCGAGTCGCCTAGATGCCAGCATGTCGCGCCGCGCGACGACAGACCTGCACTAACGCATCGCGCGTTAATGTAATGCTTTGTTGTCTGTCAAATACATGAACTCGCGCGCTGACTCCGCCCACACCGTTCTTGTTGCTATAGCAACTGCGTCTGCTAATCATCAGGTGTCAAAATTTTTCGGAAAACTTTGAGACGTCATACCTTATTTATTTGTTAAGTATTTGAAAAAAAAACCGAACACATATTTTTTATTACCATTATACAGTATCTTCCTTTAAAATGGTCAGTGGTTTTTTTTATCACCCTGTATGTATAAAAAAGTTCTAATTTTAATCTAGTATTAATAGAATATGTGTAGGCGTTGACGTGCCCGTAAATCAATTTAATTGAGCGGAATTGCTGTATATAAATATAGTAGATAATTAACAAAGGAACTAATATATATTTTATTTAAATTAAATTTTACTAAGTGGATTTTAAGGCGGTCAAGTTCGTCTGCGACAGAGGCTTGGCTAGTCTAAATACAGCTCTAGCCATTACCATGGTTCTTTATAGCGTCTTGTCGTCTAAAAATTACTGGCTTGTGTGTCGAGAAGCTGAAGGGAAAATCGCGTCCAGAATGTCATTGCCAAGTATACCAGTAACAATTTGATGAATAAAACAATATAAATAAAACAATCTCACTTATGATGTTTCTCTGGCTCGCTGTCACTTGAGTCGGACATGTCAGTGGGCAGGGTGTCGCCTTCCGCCGACTTGAGGTCCCCGTCAACGCTTGTCACTGCAATCGACAAAAATATCTTAGGACAGTTTTCCCAGGGCACGGAGGCCCGTTAGGTATTTCATAACGTTGTTGTGTCTATCGCTTTTGACGCGTGGGCGAGATATCACTCGTTAAGAGACATTTCCGTGCGTAATTTCTACATTTCGTAGTTAGATGTTTCAAATAATAAACTGCCTCAGTGGCCGAACGGTTACCATGCCGGACTGCCACGCAGAGGTCCCAGGTTCGATTCCCGGGCCGGGAGAAATGTTTGTATGGCTTACATTTATTTCTCTCGTGAGTTTGGGTGTAATTTGTGGTTGTCTATGTGTGTGTCCATGGCACCCGCGACACAGGGATTCCCTAGTGCGGGGCTATGTTGAGTGTGTGCGTTATGCGTTATGCGTTATTACTCTCAATAATAATCTTTTTTTCCCCATCTAGTTTGATTGTTTTTGTTTGTATTACTTCTTTTAATTATTTAAATTGCTGTTTTTAAATGCAACTTAATTTACATTTACGTTGTTTTTGCAAGCTGCGTTCGCTCGTAAGTAGTTGTGCAATTTAGATAAGATCTTCACAAAATTTAATGTATAATAATGATACATTGTAATAAATGCAAGTGAACCAATAAACTAAAAATAAAATAAAAAAAAAAGAAAATTGTTATGAGGCTAACGAAATAAAGCTCTGCAATAAGCACATGGAAAAATTCATGAATCCGTTGGTTCGTTCCGTGCGTTACATGGCACAGCGTCTGCAACGGTTTGCTAGGAGTCGTTGGTTCGAATCCAGCCGGATCGATGTGAATTTTATCTAAGTGTTCAATCTTTTTATTTCGTATTAAGGCACTATGTAAAGAAAAACCGTTCTCAGTAACTTAGGGTCGTTACGGAGTATCTTACCGAGTGGCGGGGAAGCATCCCTGGTGTGTGAGGCAGACCGCGAGGACCGTTCTCTGTCGCCGCGTGCTTCACTGCTGCCCCCACCCCCCGCATCCATAGACGACGTTTCTATCTGATCCTATGGACAGACAAGAGATGAGATTTATTTTATTTCTTAGGAACAACAACTCCACAAACACTGGATACAATTTGTATATAGTTACATGCTAGCTAGCGCCCATGCAATATCCACATTTTTTTATAATATCAAGTCACGGGACGATCAAGTCGTGTGCCTGGTGGTGAGCGACACATCTATTCATAACAGTTGCAGTGCCATTCAGAGCTTTATGTCGCAAAAATTTTAGGGGCACTGTGACCGGTATGTTGACAAGTCCCATATGCCCATAATTTAACCAACGCCCTTACCCTTCTAAACCAGAAAGCATTAAAGCTTGGCAGCAGAAATAAGGTGGCAGTACTTCCCTGGATAAACTCTTTCACAAAGAGCTCTACAGCTACTTTAACATAAATACAAAACGATCATCAACCATAACCAGTTAAATCTTTTGCATATCTCAAATATATATCATGTTGCCTGGAAGAAATTGCTACCTAGCAATAAAGCCGCCTGGTACACATTAAATTAATATTTTTGTTAAGTTACAAAGATCGAACACTTAGAAAAAATTCCTTCGATCCGGCCGGATTCGAACCGACGTCTTCTAGCAAACCGTGCTAGTAGCTGTTGTATTAATAATTATAACAAACTAGTGGAGTAATTTCACAAGAAAACAATTAAATATCAATTAAAAAATAATAATTTTTGTTAAGTTTTTATTATTACTTACTCTGTGTTGCCTTATTATTATTACTTACTCTGTGTTGCCTTATTATTATTACTTACTCTGTGTCGCATATTTTTCATCTCTATGGATAAATATTCCGGTTTACGCATCAAGTAGTTGGGGTAATTTTTATCTTTACCATTTCAGTTCCTGTCTACTTTATATGATATAATTTTTACTTAAAATTACAATTAAAACAAATATTGTTTGTTTTTGGTACATTATAACAAATACTATATTTAAAATCTGATTGCGAGAGTAATAAAAACAGTATGCAGTTACAAAAGTTTAGAAAAGTTGCATTATTACCTGTTCAAACTAGGGATTCCCTGTCTGCGTACCCTAACTACCAGAGTATCAGAATTCACTCAGAACAATCAGGAAATAACCAATTTAGAAAAATTTATATTCAGGCGATTCCCGGAAATGAACCCAGGACTGCCTCGTCCAGCGACCACAGTGCAAAAACATTAGGCCAAAATTACGTTTTGTACGAGAGGTATCTAGTTATACATATAAGGATCGGTGGCTATAGAAAAAACCTTGTTCAGTTTAGGAGAGGGAGGAATTGACTTCTTAGTAAAATTAGACATCACCAAAAGTTGCCCCGATCTCAAAGACTTACTTAACTTAAGCACCCACCGCGCAGCGCAGTTATGTAAATTGGAAACAACGACGGTACCAAAAACTACACCCGAGACAATACAGAAAAGTTAGTTTTTCTACATTAACCCCGCCGGGATCGAACCCGGGATCTCAGAGATGGCGAAACCATGAAAACCGGTGTGAAAACCACTCGCACCACTGAGGTCGTCGAGGAAATAGTTCATTCGATCGGAGCAGAGATTTCCCAAACAACTTTTTCTAATTAAAAAACAGGCGATGTGTCCAATAAAGCCCTAAATTGTAGTTTTCGGAAAGCACAGATGTCTGCAGAGTAGTCCATTCCTTTGCCTTACGCATTACGAATACAATAGCAGTCTACACGAATATTAAAAAATACAAGAAAATTATTTCACAAAGCGAAAAAGGTCTTTTAAACATCCAACACAAGCATCATATTCTTTTTTTTTATTTATATTTTATTAGATTTTAAAGATTTTACAAAGTCATGACTTTGATGATTTGATATCAAATATCAATAGAAACAGGTTTACAAAGGTCGTTTTTCTACATGTTTTTCGATATTTTTTACCTAAGGTTTCAGGTACACGGCATCGCAACACTATGTATACATAATTATCGCCGCCACCGCGATTACGCCTACTGTTGGGTAATTTTCCGAAAAATTTCAAATACTGAAAAATTTTTCCGGAACAATTCCCGAAAAATTGGAAAAATATAATTTCGAAGGCTCATATCATGTTCTACGTTTAGAAATATCTTTGAAGTGTTATATAACGTGCATTATAAATTAAACTTGTATAGTTAAAAGCCACCTTGAGAAAAACGAGGTTTAAAATGATTTCACAACAGCGAGAAAAACCTACTTGATGGCTGCATCGTTTCGTTCGTTCGTTCGTTCAGTAACTTCAACTTTTGACAGGTGTCAACGTCAAATGTGGAAATTAAAGGGAAAATATTGGAAAATTAAAGAAAAAGTATTGGAAAAATATCCGGAAAATGTTTATTAAATTTTTCGGAAAAAAATTTTTCAAAATGGAAATTTTTCCATGACCCAATATTAATTACGCTTTACTCACTTTCCGCGTTGAATAGTAAAGTAACGATTACACTTTAGAGGATGGAAAAAAAATAAAAGGAAGGAGCTGCCCTAATTACGGAATGAACGTGCATACCTAAACAAAAATTGAACGAACAAATGGTGGATTTCTTTAGTGTCGACAGTTTCGTACCATAATCTATCGACAAGTCATTATCGACATGCAAACATTTTATTAAAGTAGATCAATATTCCATTTAGGAATATTTTAGGTCTTTAGGAATGTCACATGAAATTTTGAATTCATTGTTTTGCGTTTACAAATACTCAAATATTACGAAAAGTGAATTTGCACACAATAAAATAATATTTTGTAATTTGAGAGTATATAAAAAAGAAAAAACTTTGAAATACAAATCCTATACATTTCCAAACTCAAGATTAATATTTTCATAGAGAAATTTTTAAACAGATTCCAAACAATGTAAGCTTTTTTGTATTTATGCTTTTTTGTATATATTTGGTACAGAATTAATATCAGCGATTGATTTAAGTGAATCTTTAATACTTCCATTTAATTTTGAAAATAAATTAAAGTAGTAATATTATCAATAATAATACGTTTATATGCTTAAAACATGGTACAACAAGAGATGTAACAAGAGACAGTGTTAGTATAAACATGTTTCGCATATATTAAATAGCAAGCAAATGTCTGATTATACAATGTCAATTTACTACTATTGGCCGAGCACCTTTGATTTGAGCAGTAAAATCGACACTTCTCCGTAGTGAGACAAGTAGTCACGAGCGATTGCCAGTGGTGACAAGCCAGGTCAAACGAGCTCTATACACGTTAGCGCTCGCCTTCACTCGGTCAGCTAGGCGAGTGACACCGAACGATGGCAAGGCAAGGCAAATAGGCTGTCTATACGTGGGTATTGGCTTTCACCCGGCAAACGTTAGACCATCATGGTCTTTGTATTGCTGGCTTTATAAAATAAGAATTTTTAATAGTTAGAGTTGTCAGTGGGAAAAAAACGGAAACGAGCGGATAATTTTGTTTTCAAGAATTGAGAATGCCTAGTAAATGTGTCTTGTTTAATCTAAATTAAATATAAAATTATGTACCAATAAACCTAATGATGGAATTGCATTATCATGTAATGTAGTTACATTCAAAGTTATGTTAAAATTTGACTCTTCAAAATGAAGCGAATAAAATAAATGAAGACGGTCTTTGATTCAATGTTTATATTCGGCACTATTATACGGCGGTATGATTTCCAAGCATTCTTTTTTCTTTTTTGACTTGTAGGTAAACTTGAAACAATAAAAAAAAGAAAATAAAAGCCTCATAGTGAATTATTTTAATAACAGAATATCGACAATATGTACGCTTCCAAGAACAATATTATCTCAAAATAATCGTTAACAACAATCATCAAAATATACAAACAAACAGGCAATCTGAAGAAACCAAAGAAAATTTGGCAAGATTTATGAATAATTATGAATAAACTACTTAAATATGTCTAATTATATGAGATATTTAGGCTTTTGTGTGATTTATAGACAGACAAATGACACGTGCCTGTACAATGTTACATTCGGTCGATCTTCGCTTTTTCAAATGCCACATCCCGTAATGCTGCAGTGACGAATTTTTATTAACACTTAATTGTTCTCACTGTCAATATTTTTGTCCATTTTATTACAATACATGCGAATAATTCAATAAAACACTTGGAAAAACATTTGTTTTGACATTTGATGTACTTCCCTTTGACAACCGTATCATGTACCTTATGTACTGCGAAATGGACACGGTTGGCATTTAAGATGACGTTATGTATTTTCGACTCCCGTGTTTGACACAGACCAATGTAATGCTATCTCTTTTGGCTTAAGACGGCACGCAAGAGTTAAACAAAGACAATAACATGTTTATGTTTTCAATGTCGAAATGCACCATATACATATAACGTCTGATTTATATATGTCAACATAACAAGTTCTTTAGTTTCCATAGTCTAAGGATTACTGTAGTATAGCAATGTTGACGTAACTGTGCAGACTGTGTCAATATTAAGCAGAAAAGGAAAAATGTTACTTACTTATTCTACAAACATCGGCGGGACCAAAATGAGAAATGAAGAAGGCAATTTTTGAAAATAAGTTGTTATTTTAATATGCAGGGAAGACAAAGATGAATTTCATGTTTTAGATTTATAGAATATCTGAGAATCGGTGTAAAAACTTTTGGTGCATTACTTGATATTTTTCGAAGGAAACTACAACATTAAGGTACTAATATGCGACCTATACAATATGTTAAAAACCATGTTAAAAAAAAAAGAGAACTAAAGGTACATGTGAACAACTGCGCAGGCGGTAGGACAGTGAAGCCGGTGGGTACACAAAATGCCGATGCGGCGGCGGGCGGTGGCATGTGCCTCGTGCGCGATTTTTATACGTATGGTCATGGTTATAGTCTGTCTTTTTTGAAGACGGAGTAAAATGACAGTTCATTGCGAGCATCTAGTGATTCTATCGACTATCGACGGAATATTGGTCACAATTATGGAATAAATAGCGGAACTTGTTTCATTTGAATCATCCTCGACT